ATATTGTAAAAATTGACTTACACACTCGACAATACGAAAAAAGCAACAATAGTTTTTTGTGTTCACAAATTTATTTTTAATTATCGAACAAAAACAATATAACATTTTTTAATTTTGAATATAATTTCAAAAACGGAAACAATTTTGGAAACGGTTGCCGTTATATTATTATACAATTTTGTATGTTCAAAAAAAAGTTAGAACAAAAGAGAAAAAGCCGAAATTTGTAAAGTGAATATTATTCGATATAAGTAAAGAAAATTTAAATACAAAAAAAAAAGGCATCGGTCAAGACGACGCGATGTGGGGGGGTACGTGGTGGCGAGTTGGTGGTGCTGATGATGTATTGGTAACTGGTATATGGCCACTGGTCACCTCTACAACGTTCTCACGGGCTGTCCTGCGGGGCGGACGAGAGTCGCGGGCGAGTTTGCTCGAGACCGCCAAGACGACCATGGCAGCGGACGAAGCCCGGCCACGACGGCTGCGAGAGCGACGACGATTGGCGACGAGAGGCTAGTGCGCGATGTCGTGCGCTGCTTGACGGTACTGCGGGTGCTGAAGACGACTGCTTGTGCCGGCAACGACGGTGACCTGCAAAGCTCGGAGAGGCGAGCTGGCGACTACGATCTCGGTGCAGCTGCGGAATCGGCGGCGTTGCGACTCGGGATCGGACCACTGGGCGAAAAAGGGAGAAAATCTGCAGACAGCTTCGCGACGACGCGCCGCTGTCCTGATAGTCTCCGTGATTTTCGCCCTGGCGTCTCCGTCTGCCGCAGCCGATGGCCACGGAGCCGCGCACCGTCGAACCCGACGAAACGTTTCGTTTCCTCGAGCCCGGCGCTGCTGACGTCCGTGGCGTTCCTAGCTATACCCTGTAATCATAGTCATCCGTCACTCACCCGCCGTGAGCTCTGAGGTGTCCGTCGCCGCCGTCACTCGAGTCGCGCAGCACTGCAGCGTTCGTCACTGAGCAGGTACCGTGTCGGGGACGGCGTCGTTGTCCGCGCCGGTACCGCTAACCTCCGTCGTCGTCGTGTCGTCGTCGCTCCCGGACCGAAGCAGCCGGGCGCCCGCCGCGCCGCCAGAGGGTCTCGCGTGTCTCGGCGACCTCGAGCTCGCAACGTCCGCGATCCCGTCGCGCTGCCGCAGGATGGCCGGAGAACGTGTATCGGCGACTTACCGCCGGTCACCACCTGAATGTGCACTGCCGCGTACCTATTACCTCGAAACCCCACACGTCGCCTCGTCTTGTCCGCTGCCCTCGGCCAGGGGGGAAACTTTTGGACGGTTTCACTTCGGGGGACAACAACAGCGCAACACGCGTGCGGCTCTCGTCAGGCCTCTCCACGCAGAGGACACCAGTCTCGCCGTTGCACTGCGCGGAGCTGCGCGTGTTTCTGCCTTGACCCCCGGGTCCAGCCAACCAATCAAGATCCCGATACTATTTCTGACTTCCAGTCCTCTGGCCGGTGTGGCGCCCACCGCCTCGCCATCATCCAGCTCCTTTTTCGCGGCTTCCTGCACCGGAGGCGCGACCACTTCAACGATCGGTTCAACCGGTTCTGCCATTTTGTCAGATTTGTCGACCGGTTGAAAGACGTTGGACGGGACGTAGTCGTCCCCCGCGAAGCGCGTCGCATACGATAAAAGTCCTTCCAGGTCTCCAATGGTAGGCTCTTGGTCGATGTCGTCTATTCGTTTAAGTTCTTCTTCCATAATCTCGTACTCGACGTTGCTTATTATTTTTCCCAAGATTTGCATGATAGTTGTTTCCATTTCCTTTTCTTCGATATGCGATGCAGCCATTTTTTCGTTCAGGTTTTTTTTTTGTCCGCGTAAGGTTAGGTCAGATTATATACTCAGATGAGCTCAGAGTTGCAAATGTGCCGATTTCGGTATTTATTCCTGGGCCGTCGACGATGATTTTAAACAAACATCGTTTATTAGTAGCCAGCATATTATTATATTAATCGACGGCCGGCATCAGCTGGATTTCGGGCCCGTTAATTTTTCCAAATGCCATTATTACGACTATTATTGGTATACCGACTCTAACTGTATATACTTACGCAGAGGTACACTATAATAATTGTATTATAATATTTTAACGAGGATTTATATGTCGATCTGCATTATATTACTATACTGTCGTATATATAATATATATACTCGCTTTATACTTTTGTAGGTACCTATAAGATTTTTAGATTCAGAACGGAACGCGACCAATGAGTATTGCGATTTTACAATTATTGTTTTTTGAGTATGTGTTGGGGTGTACCTATATTGCGTTTTATACAGTGCCGTAAAAACCGGGTGTGCAGAGTGTGTACCACACACAGGCCTCGGGCCCCATAATATATCGAAGGGCCTCAGAAGATCTAAAGACTAATATTAAACTAATATAAAATTATTAAAATATATAAATTATTTATTATTTATTTTTTAACCTAGTAAATTACTAGGTTTATATGATGGCGTTAAAACGGTTTATACTCAAACCGTTTTGAAAGTTAAAACGCTAGCGCTATGTAGTTTAAGAATTTAAAACCGTTTTATATGTTTTGTTATGCTGTATTTAATTATTTTTGATTATCGCATTCCGTTATAATTACGTTTACAAACATGTATCGTTTTTTGTAAAAAATAAAACGTTATAATCAATATTCAATAATCATAATGTTATTATAACGTTTGCAAGCTCTGCCATATCCATAAAATATTGCAATTTTTCAACCACTTCAAGATTGAAATTCCCAACTTACCTATTTAAATCACAATCAATTATATTTTCAATTAGGCTGAATTGTATTGTTAAATTATTTATTGTACAACCTAATTTTTTTATGGTCTATAGAACTGGCCCTTCTGAATACAAAAAAATCAGTAGAATTGTCGACCGGTTTTTTTGTCTGCTGACTTTAAAAATTGCAAAAAAAGTTTTTGAGTTGTGTATTGAAAAAGATAATAAGGGGCCTCAATATTTTGGTTTGCACACAGGCCTCAAGTAGCCTAGTTACGGCACTGGGTACATGCCCAAAGCTTAGGAGGAAAAGTACTGTCTTCGCTCTTCTGAACTATAATGTTCCTTAAATTCAGCGCAATTATCGATTATAAATTATCTGTATCGGCGAGATTATGGTGTATATTTAATTTAAAATATGTAGTTAGGTACCTCCATTTTTAACTGGAATGCATTTTGTTGTTATTTTTTATATTAGTAGACAGTGGTAACCAAAATATTTTTTCGTTTACTATGAATAATAATATTTCTTTGGGCGAAAACCAAATCAGTCTTTTTTGTGTTTGGGTAAAAAATATCATTTGGCGAAAACTAAAAGGTCAAATTTGCCCGCACACGCAAATCACTCACGGCCACCTTATTTGTAAAAATGACCCCCCCCCCCCCCCCCAATATGTCCATCACGCGGCACCCTTCTCACGATTCAACACATAATGACGAAATGATGTAGGTACCTACATACACCTAATGCAGAATATCTATCAGAATTTCTTGGACACAAGTGCACACTACACAACATATCCTCACTTGTAGTTTCATCAAAACAGCGAATCTACAAAACGAACTGTAAATTATAAAAAGAGGGCGGGCTGATAAGTAATGCCTCTTATCTTATAGTTATTTTTAGATGTACGATAAAATTGTCATTTGTTGTCAATATAATAGTTTATGTCGTTGGTTTAGTGTGTGCGAAGACGCGATAGTGTAATGTTAATATTTGATTATTTATGGAATCTATAATGACGGCTTCTTCAGATGTCCGGTTCAAACAGCGTGATGTTATTGAATTTCTCGTATTTACGGAATTTCTAAATTAGTAAATCGTTGGCAAAAATGTATCGCCTTAGAAGGTAGTTATGTAGAAAAATAATAGTATGTAAATAAAAATCATTTAAATTACTATAAGTGTGTTTTTCATTAATTATTCTATGTATAATACTTTTAAAACTACGAGTCAAGAGGCATTACTTATCAGCCCGCCCTCGTATTTGTATAACCAATTTATTGTTCTATAGTATAACATATCTAGGTATTTATCGTTTCTAATAATATTGTAAACTAGGCTATATTTATACTTCTCGATCATTAAGTCTACCATGCAAGATAACTTGATTCCCAGTGATGAACGGGATTTTATGACGTATAGGCGCCATGGTGGACATTTTTTTTTTGGGGTGGGGTGGTTTGAATGTTGGATACATCATGGTAATCGATAACATAAAACAAAAATTGAAATATTTAGTCACATAATAATTTATTATATTTCATTAATAATAAAAAAAAAATTTGGAAGGGCTAGTGGATTAATAGATTGTGGAACAATTGGTCGTTGGAATATTCTATTTCTTGGGACAAATGTACATTTTGAATATTAATTAAATTTGAACAAAATTGACTTCGGCACAACAACTAATTGTTGGAAGGTACAACCACTGGTAGTGCCTAGTGAATATAGCATAGAATATAGTGAATAATTATCCGATTCCAAGATCATAAAGAAGATCTTCTCTACATCGTTTATTAGGCCATTCGTACAATCGTACAAAATACCTATTATCACCACCAGTAATCTAAGACCGTGATCACTAGACCACTCATCGACTCGTATTATAGTACTAATCGCATAATAGTCGTATTATTCATTATTATTATTATTATTATTGCCGAAGTAGTAATAAGGTATTTAGAGTAGTGAAAAAAAAAGTAAAATAAATAATAATAATAATAATTTTCTTTACGGTTGCCAAAACCTATTAGTTTTAGTTATTGTGTGATATTTCTGTGTTCTGTCGACAAACAATAGAATTCGGTGACGTGATTTCGTTTCTGTAACCCAATCGTTTTTCAATTTGTATTCGGAAAAATAAATAGGTGGGTACATTTTATTCTTTGTGTTTTCATTTATCGAACATTGCCCAGATGAATCAATTCACGGGGCGTAACACTAACGTAAGCATACAATTTTTGTTCAGGAATGTCCGACGGGGACGTGATCAAAGACAGCGTGGATAAGTTGGCGATTCACGATGACGACGAGATCGATTCCAACTACAAACCGCCGCCGGAAAAAACTATTGAAGAGCTCTTAAATGCTGACAAAGAAGACGCGAGCTTGCAAAAATACAAGGAAAAATTACTGGGTGATGCTAACAGTGGGAAAATAATTTTTGGTAATTATAACTAACCAACATTATTGGGGAGTGCATTGTGTCCAGTGTCACAACTAGGGGGAGGCGCTGTGGGGCTTAGCCCCCTGACTGAGATTTAGCCCCCCAAAAAATATCCCTTAATTATTTAGATATTTTAAATAAATAGTTTTGTTAGTTGGGCTGTACGAATTTTAATCTTAGTTGCATGTATGATTGTGTCTATGTAATTGATAATGCATTATTATACATTTTATAATGAAAGTTTTATAAAAAAGTTAACAGTAATACTATTTGGCTATAACTACTTTTATTATTATTTTAATTGCTTTTTGTCATCTCAGTTATTCCATTTAAAAATAAGTTTATACTTATTTCAATGTCTATGTTTCCTTTAAAACAATTTAAATTATTGTTACAAATACCTTATACTTATTGGACATTATTGTAACCTATATTTTAAACTTCAATAGGTACCTACAATATTAAATATATTTTTTACCAAATTATATTATTCGTTAAACTTACTAGTTTGAAAAATGTTTACTTAATTTAAAATATTTTTTTTTTTATATGTTGATGGACGGTCTCGTGGCCGTCGTCGAAAAAAATTCGTCCTTAAAACGTCAATTTTCATTACTGCTATAGCAGTATGCTTTTAATACTGCTGTAAGGTTTTATGTTATAGGGCAGTGCAAAATTGTCCGCTGAGATGTCAGGGGACACAATAATCTATCCCCTCATAAGACACCATTGAAAATATCACTGCTATAGAAGTAATGGCAATTTTTGGAAAGTTTTTATGATACTGCTATAGCAGTAATATTTGAAAGTGTCCCCCTACATCAATTTTTGAAATTACTGCTATGGCAGTACTGCCCACTGTTAAATGAGATTGACAAACTTCGATACATTTTTCATAATAATCAGTTTAATTACTTAAGAGTAACATACTTATAAAATATTTAAAATTTAAAACTATCTAGCGTAAATTTGAATTATAAGAATATCGTAAATAGGTTCAGTTTAATTTAATTACTGCAACGGTTTTTATAATACAATTTATATTTACATTTTAAATTACTAATATAATAGCAGTTATTTATCTTGTATTTAATACCAGTTTAATTCTGTGCTAGTTGTGTGGTCAATTATTACATGAAAGGTTGCAGTAATCCCATTAGTTAATAGTTGTTAATATAGAATTTACTATTTACTTTATAAAATTCTGGGACACATATTATGTAACTAGCGCAACTAATGAATAGTTAATAGGTTTGAACGTTCTAAGGGAATTATATATTTTTTTTTTCTAGATGAAGATAATCCAAATAAAGTGATTGTCAAGAAATTAGCATTATGTGTTACTGATAGACCAGACATGGAACTTGATTTGTCAGGAGATTTAACGAATTTAAAAAAACAGGTTAATATTTTGTTTTAAATTTTATACCCTTTTTGTAGCATATTAAAAATATAATTACATTTTAGGTGTTCATTATAAAAGAAGGAATATCATATAAGATTAGAATAGATTTTATAGTACAACGAGAAATTGTTCATGGTCTCAAATATGTTCAAAAGACTTATCGTCTTGGTGTACCAGGTAATATTTTTAAATACACTTAATATATTAGTACTTTAAATACCATGGATCACCAATATATAATTTTGGAGAGACGCTAGAAATCCAGGAAGGTTTCGGATTGTATGTTTATGTTTTTCCCAAGAAATTTAAATCAAAATTAATAAAAACCTCATTTTATGTACCATTAGAAAAATAAAATGTCCTATTTGCGTGGCAAGTAAGTCATGCACAGGCCACATGTTAAGTAAATGCCATCATTTGGTAACCTCTGTTATATTACAAAAAATTGATAATTTGAATTCTTAGTTAATGAATGTATGTTAAAATGTTTGTCTTAAATATATTTATATAATGACTCATTGTTAATTAAAAATATATATTTTTTTTAAATTTTAAATTTAAATACCTATTGTGCATTTTAAAATGTAGCCGAATAATTAAGAGTATATAAATAGTATTTTAAGGACAATAAAATATCTGATTAAATAAATGTTAAAAAAACTTATCATTGTGTAGTTAACAAAAAATAATCAAATTGCATTTGTTATGAAAATGCACGAATTTCAGTCTACGTCTTAATAATTATCAATATTATAACTAACAGTTTAGATATGCCCAACACTACTGAAGTACATGACATATATTATCTAATTATTTTAATATTGTTTAATTATAGTATTCTAATAAACTATCAAAATTTATTATGATATTGCTTTAAATGTACCTATCATAAATTAAAATAATAATATTACATCATTTTTTATTTCACTTTATTTCACTGAAATTATTGTTATATTGTATTTGTTTTGTATCTCTCACAATACAGATATATCAGATATATAAGTCTTATTAGTTATTAACAATCATACATTTGAAATATTTTGGATGTATAAAAAAATATTCTCATTTTTTTTTTAATTTTTAAATGGTTCTGTTTATTATATTATTTTTTTTTTTGAAATCAGCATATTAGTCATTTGGGAGGGGGGTTATAACAACTAAACATATATTTATTTACAGTAGCATCCAAAATTAATGTAGCAATGTGTCCATTACAAAAAAAATGTAGAGGTCATTTCAAAATGTCATAGATGGTGAAAAAATTTATTTTTTCAATCCTAATCATGACACAGAGCTTAGAAAAAATTTAAGCAACTCTGTATTTTATTGTTTATAATTTCTAGTTATCTTATATTATAATTATAAAAATTATTATTTTAACACATCACTTTTATTATTTTTAATATTATTGTTTGTTAAGACCACAGGCATACAGAATAATAATCAAAATTTTAAATTACTGACCAGTTTTTAATGTGTTAAATTGTAGATTCATTTATTTTTAGAGGTTAGTTAATTTAGTACTTACGAGTTATCCTGACTATCTGATCGAAAAATAATCAATTTCCCTTTGTTTTCTGTTCCAAAATTTAGTGCATACTGATATCCGTTCTACATTCCAGAATTTACTACGTACCGTAGTTCTAGCTTTATAGGGCCAACAAAATAGTTTTTTCATCATTAGGTTTGACTGTACCCAGAGTTTTAAAATATTTGTTGACCAAAGTACAATTTTACTTGATGATTGGATCCACAAACCTGAGTATTAGGTAAAAGTTCATTTTCTCGGATGTCACAACATATTTTTTGTTGTATTGTTAATCTCAGATCTGTATTGTAAACACTGAATAGGAAATTTGAAGTATAGTTCATTATAAAAAAAAAAACCAATATTTTATTATGTTTACTTTTAAGTCACAGTGAGTCAGAAACTAACAAGTTCCATTTATTCTTTTATTACTAAAAGTAACATCTTCTAATATTGGGAAACTGTTATAATATTTATTTATTGTGATGAATTCTGCTGAGAAATTAATTATCTAAAAATATAGAATTTATTTATGGTTAATTTTTATGTTTTGCTGCAAAATAGTTTGAGGTAAACTAATCAATGTTTCAAATATTAATTCATGCAATTTGTAATATGGTAACTTTTTTTTAGTGGACAAAATGACTCACATGGTTGGATCGTATCCACCAAAGATGGAGATACAGAGTTATACAACACCAGCTGAAGATGCTCCGAGTGGCATGATGGCACGTGGCTCATACACGGTTCATTCTTTGTTTACGGATGATGACAAAAAGGAACATTTAAAATGGGAATGGGTATTCGAGATTAAAAAAGACTGGAAGGACAACTAATTTACAGGGAATTTGAAATATCAGTTATAAATTAAAATCATAAATTTATAACAATTTAATTACATAAACAAATGCTTTAATAAGATTATTTTCATTCATCTTTTTCTTAGATATTATATGGATAATTTTAATTTAATAAGTCAATTCAATTTTTATTCGTATTATTACTATTATTATTTTTGTAATTTTCAATAATTGAACATTTCATGGTTATTTATAAATATATATATTTGTAATTTTATATATGTATGTATAAATACTATTTTATTTAGACTACGTCTAATTATGGTGCCAAAGTTTTAATTCGATCAAATTCTTTTTAACTGCTCAGGTCTCTAATAAGTTTTTCAAAAATTATGTTTACTTAATATATTTGGGGACCGTGGGATTTTAATCGAACAATAGAATTAGATATTATTATTTTAACATCACTTAAAAATTTACTATTGTATTTTCGTGAAAGGAAAATTAATTTTTTATTGTAATTTTTTTTATACCTCATCGTACATAATTGTATTCATATTCAATTACATTCATAAGTTTCTAAGTGTATGTAATAGATCAAATAATAAATCATTTTTCAAATATAAATATTTTTTTATTGTTTTCAAATTGCAAGCTAATACTAGTTATAAATTATATAAATAATAATTGTGATTACATTGTTTCTGAAAACAGATTAAATTGTAGATAGAAAAATGTAGTTTCTAAAGACAATAATTTTTTTAATTAAGCGGCATTAATGTTTTTAAATTTCCTCTACTTTAAATATAAATTAATATAACTGGTTTTATTTTCATCTTATTATTAAAATAGTAAATATGTCAGAATTAATGTTATAAAAAAAATATTTATGTATCATTGAAATGAAACAATATCATTTATTATTAGTAGCGACGTCTATCTCTATCTCTTCTGTCATGTTTGTGGGTTCGACTGCGACTACGACTACGTGAACGATGTCTACTGTGGCGGCTACGTGACCTGTGGATGTGTAAACACAAAACATACATTATACATAATTTCATAATATAAAAAAAAATTACCTAGACCGTCGGTGACGTTCATTTCGATCTCCACTTCTAGACCGGTGACTTTTTTTATCATCTCGTTTATAACGTTCTTGCTCATCAAATTTACGCCGAGCTTCATGTCTTTCTTCATAATTTTTCTATATTAAAAAATTTAATAATTTACTTTTGTTTGAATTTTTGAATTGTTAATAACTAGTCTTACTTCAAGTTCTGATAGTTTTTCTCTTATTTTAATAAATCCTAAATGTAATTTTCCTCCAAAATGGTCAGCTAATCTTCGATCGTTATCATGAATACCTAAATAAGCTGAACATACATCACACACTCTTAATTTTTGCTGTTGATAACTGCTTACAGGCATAGAATTTCTATAAGTATCTTCTGCTTCTGATTTTTTTTTACGCAGATCTTCAATCTATTATCAAAGAAATATATTTACATAAATATTAAAAAAAAAAAAAAATATGTAATATTCAACATACTTCTCCCATCAACTTGAGACTATCATCCACCAAACCTTGAGCACCCAATTCTTCAGCTTTGGCCAATGTTTGACCTATCTTCTCAGCCAACTCATGAACAGCATTGGCTTTTTCAGCTACTTCAGCAGTAAGTTCTTCCTGAGTTTCTAATAGTCGTTTTCGAGCTGCTTCAGTCCTTCGGTCACAATCACTAATGAATGCTTGTAAATGTTCAGTAGCCTAGAAAAAATAATAGATGATTAGTTATTCCTAATTAATATATATTTATTTAAAAATGATAAATTATTTCATCAACTTACATCTACATCATAATAGTGATCAAACTTCTGTTGAGCTTTTTCAAAATCTGCTCTTAATGCATTATCGTGTATTTTTGGACACTCACCAATGTCCATGCGCTGAAATAATATAAAAGTTTAATAATATAATACATCAAACTAACTAAAACGGAAATTAAGGATTTACATGGAATAATATCAGGTTGACCTGGAAACACGAAAATATACACAATATAGGGAAAATAGCATTATATCAATTAATGACTTACGTATCGAGTACTTAACAACCTCAAAACTTACACTTGTTCACTCTTAGAAGATACATGGCCTGAATGAATTATGTTAAATAAATATAAATAATATAACATAACATTAAGCAACAAAATATAATTAATGTATTGTAACAGATAGCTCTGTCGTTGTCTCAAAATTTTTTGACTTACAGACAGACGACCATTTACAATTTGCTCACCGACATTGAAGCATTGATGGCGAGCATCTTCCCCATCTTTGTATCATTGTCTTGAAACGAATCAAAACACAATTCGTTTTTGACTATTCCTAGAGAGGGTGACAATAATCAGGATTAAGAGTAAAACATTCGCATTCAAATAGACGTAATTAACTGAGTTGATGTACGTACTGTCTTCGATGAAACTAAATTTTCAGAATAATTTTGGTAGATAATACCGATTTGTAACTTATAAGATAAGTATTAACTACTCACAAAAGATTTGTTGATATCATGGTAGGCTTTGTAGATAAGTTCTTTTTAAGAGTAGTGAAAATTTTTAAGAGCAGTAAGAAAATTTACCCTACAACTAATTGTAAAAAAAAAATTACATTAAGGTTATGAATGGATTCCATAAGTTTATTTTTTATATTTTTTACAAATGCAAAATTACTGTTGAAATAAATCTATGTTAAATATATTATTATAGAGTGTCTAATTGAAATTTAAATATTTTACTGGTAAATACAATATTTATGAAGAAAAAGTTTGGTATTTTTATTTATTATTTATTTGGTACTAGGAAGCAGATTTGTTGAATTATAAAATATGCAAATTAAAAGTATTAAGTATCAGCAGGTGCATCAGTTTTATTTTTTTTTTTAAATACAATTTTTACTTAAAATTCTAGTTTAATACTCAAACATACCTGACAGTATTTGAGTAAATTTAATAGTAATAATAAAATCGCAATAATTTTTGATTTATTGTTAAAAAAAATGTCTATCCATAAACAAAATAAAATCTACTGATAGCTAAATACCATTTAAGATATCGTAATTGCAGGACATATCCAGGAAATCTGCATTCATCTACCGGGTGATTCTTTTATCAAACAACACTCATTATTTCAAAAGTGTAAATTTTTTTGAAGATATTTTTTTACATAGTTTAAGTCGCTTATAAAACAACGTTTTTATTAAAAAATTATATTTTTTATTATTTTTTATCCTTATAATTTTTTTACTTTTTTGAATGACAACATAGGGTTTTAATTTTATATTCTAAAGTAGAATATTTTTCTTAGTATTTTGATACATGAAAATTGAATTTGGGGCGAGTAGTTTATGAGTTATAAGTATTTAAAGTTTAGACGAGCGGTGAAGAGGACAAACATTTCGCGGGGGAACCCCGAACCACTCCACTCCGCTCGTCTAAACTTTAAATACTTATAACTCATAAACTACTCGCCCCAAATTCAATTTTCATGTATCAAAATACTAAGAAAAATATTCTACTTTAGAATATAAAATTAAAACCCTATGTTGTCATTCAAAAAAGTAAAAAACTTAAAAAATTATAAGGATAAAAAATAATTAAAAATATAATTTTTTAATAAAACGTTGTTTTATAAGCGACTTGAAACTATGTAAAAAAATATCTTCAAAAAAATTTACACTTTTTGAAATAATGAGTGTTGTTTGATAAAAGAATCACCCAGTATATCAATTTATTTCAATATAATCAAAAAGTATGGAACTAAAATTCGAACAATAATTTATTTTAAAATTCTTTGAAAATGTATAGAAAACACCTCTATTTGCACAAAATTATGAAAAATTCAGTTAAAAATCGTAAAATAAACCTTAAACATCCAAAGTTTGCATTAAAAAAGTTTCATATTTTAAATTTGTATGTTAAGTTTGGTGCATACTTGGCATATATATCATACAATCGACCAAAGTAAAAATATGCACTTGCATACAAATCCGAGCTCTATTTATCATTTTATATAAGATATTAGAAACATAGTTTTAGGGATAATGTATCTGCTTCCTAACTATTACATTTTATTAATTTTAATTTAACAACTACAAATAAAAAATTCTCATAGAGAATATAAATCAAATAAGTCTAATTTTAACATTTAAAAATATGTTTTGATTAGTATACTAAATTAGTTTAACCTATATATAGGTAATAATGTAATATTAACTTAATAATTAGTACCATTGATACATAATAATAATATCCTTAGCCATTATAAATAGTTTGAGTTAGAGTTTATTCGGTTATTCATTGGATTTTTAACTAGAAAATATAAATTAACAATATCTTATATTCCATAAAATAACGAAATAAATTAAACATTTTTGTTCTTAATTATGTCTAAAAATTAATATTATTCAATTAACTCAATAATAATTGTTTATAAACTTATAAATCCTAAATCTACATAAAATTAATATATTATTGAGGAAAATTAGAAATGATAGATTTTAGTCAGCAATATTTTATATAATAATGACCTATATTTATAACTGTATGAATATTTAAACAATCTTTAAATGTTCTTTTCTCCCTAATGAAGAAAAAGTAAACATAATTAAAACCCAAAAATTGTTTACTCACGTTTTTCTGGAAGTAGTGCGTTAATTTATTATGACAAACTTAATTATTTTTATATAATAAATACTATAAGCCTTTACATAAAAGCACATGTTAATTATAAGTTAATGAATATAATACAAATTGACCAACATGTATAGAAATACTCACAATAATATGATGATTTTTGCAAGACTTTGATAATACTATCTACTTATTAGTTAAGTATTATTTATGTTTAAATAAAATTGGCTGTTACCAAAATGTTTAATCTGATAAAGGATAGTGAATAATAATATTAAAAATTACCTATCAAATTAAATTTGAGAAACAAAATTATTATAAGTGTACCTAAACCAATTTATTT